AAGGAAAAAAAAAAAACAGAGAAGCTAATATCTCCACTATAAACAATGTTCAACCAAAAAAATATATTAGAAAAAAAAGAAAAAAAAAATCTACAATCTTTCAGGTACGGCTCTGAACACCACTTGCCAGCCTCGTAATCCTGCTCAGAGTCTCCCTCGCCGCCACCGTGTCCGGATGATCCTCTCCGCATATCGACGTCCTAATAAAAATCGCCTTCCTAATAAGATCGTCCCCGATATCAAATTGGGCCCCCCTCGCCATCAGCTTGGCCCGCACCTCCAAAACCCCAGCCCGGCCCAACGCCAGCTCCTGCCACAGGCACGGGTTGAGTTGGGCCTCCGTCCTCACGGGCCTCCAGCAAAGCGACCCGTCCAGCCACTTCTCACCCGGGCCCACAAACGCCTCGTCCGCCGCCTCCAGAGCCTCCGTGCACAGCCGCAGCACCTCCACCGCCGCCCCACACCGCGAAAATGTCGCAAACGCCCTCACAGCCAGCGGCACAATCACCTCTTTCACGAAAAAAAGCAATTCCGGCACCCTCAGCTCGACCAACGCAGGGTCCTTCCCGAACCCGAGCACCAAAAAGCACGCGGCCCACATATGGTCCGGGTTATGGTGTATCGACCCACGGGCAATCACAGCCCGAACCACGGGCCTCGCAGTCCCGGGCCCACCCCTGGCCCGAGCATACAGCCTCAGAAGCCCATTGGGCTGGACGAGCCCGTCCTTCGCGCAGGCTCTCGCCATATTGAATCTCAAGAGTAGAGAAACTCCTTCGGACTCCGATCTCCGGGCATAGGATGATGCAACCCCACACGTCATCGAACGCACTATTTTTCTCCATAGTCGGGCCCGTTTGGTCTTTTCGGGGATTTTGTGGGCCGCTAGGGATAGAATCGGAATCGGGACGGGCCCGGGCCCGAACCATCCGCTCGCGAGAGCCATTCTTGTCGCGAGGCTGCTCCCGCGCCCGTCCGCGTGGTCGAAAATCGAGAAGCAAACCTCGAAAAGCTGCAAAAGGAATGTGTTTCGTCTAAGCCAATTATTTTCTCGACCGCTCCACGCCGTTATCTCGATCGAGGCCGACGGCATTCGATTCAACATGTCCAATAGACGGCTCGGATTAATCGGGAGCTCGGAAAGAATCGACCCGACTATAGCAAGTCCAAGGGTTAGCCGCCCGAGTTTTTCTTCGATAACGCGTAAAGCGTCGATTTCCGTGATCGATTGGTCTCGTATTATACCTCCTCCTTGCATTAATGACATCGCCTCGACTCCCGAGAGGAAAGAGAGTTTTAGAGGCTCGAGATTCATCACGCGAGAGAGACGAGTGGATATGATGACGTGCGTCTCGCCTCCAAAACGAGGTAACAAATCCATGACGAGCTTGTGGTCCCACCAATCCTTCTCGCTCTCCAAATTGTCGATTATTACCAAGAACGGAATATTCCGCATTAATTCCTTTCGCACTCGGGCCACGGCGGCCTCCTCTTGTTCCTCGAAGCTTTTGGTTCGTCCCTTTTCGGCAAAGCTCTCGACCCCAACGTCGATCTCTAGAAAAGACCACAAGTTGAGATAATTTTGCCGAATGTACCGGCTTTCACCTCCGATCCACAACACCATTTTATACCTCTGATGATGTCGGTAGGCGAATTCGAGAAGAAGCTCGGTTTTCCCAATCCCGGGCTCGCCCGACACGCAGGCGATCCCCTTGCCGTAAACGATTTTCGCCGACCTTTGTTTTCTTCGGTTATGCTTTTTCGAGATGGTTTTAGATTCGGGAGCGAAAACTTGCGGCGTTTGAGAAATTTCCGGGTTTTGCATCTCGATTTCCTTTTCGGATTCCTTCCACTGCACGACGGGTTCTTTCCCTTTCCTCATTTTGGTGCCCTCAATTTTCGAATTTTTCCGTCTCGACTTTGCCTTGATTTCGAAATAATCGAGCTTTCCTTCTTCTCCGCAGACATCGCCGAAAAGCATGAACTCGAGCTCGGAAAGCTCCTTTTTCCTACCGACGAAGTTTTCGTTTCGAGGGAAAGGGAACTCTTCTCTCTCTACTTTCTCTCTCCACTTGGTCAGCCTATCAACCACACTTCTCCTCCCCAACCTCAAAGCCAAAAGCACGACAGCTCGTAAAATGCAATCCCGCCATTTACCATCATACGCCTCCAATTTCCAATCGTCCGCGCAAGAAAGGGCATTTACGGCATCTCTCCATTCTTTCTCGACTCCTCCATACTGTACCCACAGCTCGCCACCATATTTTTCCCAAAGCTCGCCTCTTTTCTCGATTATATCCCTAACAAGGCAGTCGTGTGGACTCAAGTCGAAATACAAAGGGACCAAATTCTTTTTATTGGAAAAAAACTTAAGCTCCTCGATCGTGTAAGGATTCTTGAAAGAATTTTTAGTCAATATAACAACCCCAAACGTGCTACCATCCATGGCTTTTAGCACAACACTGTGCTTGCGGGAGTTTCTACACCGAGCCCTGTCTGTTACGAAACAACTCAAACCTTGAGCTTCTAACTCCCCACGAAGCCAGTTCGTGAATCTAAGCAGTAAAGGCTTATGGCCGTGAAAACCGATGTACACGTCACAACTTCTCAGACGGTTGGAAGAAAATGAGGGCGGATGAGCCGAGATTTCGAGAAGTTTACCCATCTTTTTCCCCCTTTTACCACTCTTACGTGAATATTCGTTTGAATGGTGAGTACTGTTATACACTCCTGTGGAGGAAACAAGTTCAGATAATCGGGTATTCGAGGCAGGTGGGATATCTGCACGAGGGCATAATAACTCAGTTGAAGCAAATCGAGCTAGAGTTTGTGGGTCGGGATTAACCGAATTTTTGTCGAGGGACTCTATAGTTAGGCTTGTGTCCTCCTGGCATGGATTTTCCGAACGTGTGGACAGAGTTGAGAAAGATGACTGAGCTGCCGAAAAAAAGACAGTCGATGAAGATGATAATGACGAAAGATTCCTCATTGTGTCCGGGCCGAATATTCTAGAACTTTCTTCTTGAAGATCCATTGTGTTCCGAAAATCCACACGGTGGCATTTAATGAGCCGTTTAACTGAAATTATCGTTCGAATGTAGATTACCAATCGAGGAAATCAGATATACATGGAAGAAAGAGATAGAAAAATAAAAAACAGCTGATAAAATGCAAAATAGGCTACAAAAGGATCTGCCCCATTATGTAAGATTCAGTTACAAGAGAAAAATCACTGCCAGAAAAGAACTCATTTTCAGCTATGAGATTTTCCACCATTCAAATTCCAATAGATGAATTGTCAAAAGATTGTAACTTTTTGAAGCAATGTAGATCTAAGGACTGAATACTACTAAATCCAACCTAGTAAACCACATTATTAACTGCAATAATTCAGATCTGAAATAACTTACTCAAATCATATTTGGCAACCTATTCACGCTCCAAATCTGATAAACCCCACGTCTCCATGTAAGCCAACCAGCAATCACAAGTACAAAACAAAGAAAACCCACAATCTACTTCTTGAAGGAAAACAGAATGTACCACAAACCTGTCAAGGATGGCCAGAAAAAAAAAAAAGCTCTCTAAATAACAAATACTCAAGAACTAATACACAAAGTCACGTTTATAAATATGGAGGCCCACGAACTGCACACCCATAGATGGGGGAGAGTTGACAAAACCGAGTATAAAGATTTTATTTTTGTCAATGTGGGTGATTTTCAGTAAAGTGACAAAAAAAGAAAAATAAAGACTTTTGCACCATTAAGACAAGTCCTTGAGAAAAGGGCAGTGAAGAATTTTCGATTAGAGCATAGGGCAATGGAAAAAAGGAAACAGATTTTTACCTTTTATAGATCAAAATTCGCCAAGAAAAGAAAAGGGGCTCAGACTCTAGGCAGAGTATACCTCACATAACTGATAAATCATCAAAAATTTCAAAAAGGAAAGGTACAAATTTCAATCTTTTTTTGTCCACAATCTTCCTTATTTCCCTCTCTTTTCTGGTTTTTTTCAGAGAGCCCAACCAATGCTTTTCCCTCTGCTACTCAACTATCCCCCATTAACACACTCTCTCTCTCCCTCTTTCCTTTCTTCTTCTTGTTCTCTCTCATATGCATATTTTAATCTTTACATAAATGTTTGTTCTTGCAAGCACATGTGCGTGTAGCGAGACGTGGGAACTTTTTTCCCTGTGAGTGAGAGAATAAGAAGGGGCTGACAAATTACTAATTAGGGGTTACAAATGGGGCCCAAATGCAGAGGACGGATCGAACGAGGTATGGCCCTTCTGTCAAAAGGGCTAATAACCATCAAAGTTTTAGTACTATAACATCAGTCCTTGCTTTTGCCAGACAAGAAAATTGTGTGCCACTGTGCTTCTTTTNTTGGGGTTTTGTTGTTGTGTCAATTTTTCTTGTTTTTTTCTTGTGTTTTTGGTAATTGATTTTTTTGCTTTTGGTATTGTTTTGACAAATTTTGGAATAAGACAACTTACAATTATTTCCCCCTTAGATATAACTAGTTTTGTTGTGGAGCCATCGGATGGCTCGGTTTATGGAGTCATCCATAGTTATTCACAAATTGTGTATTGACACGTGTTCTACACTAAATATACATCGGAGCATCTTCAATGGTCAAATATTGTTGTGGCAAATTACATTCCACATCAACACATTTAATAAATTCACCATTTTTTCATCTTCAATGTACAATGTGATTACAAATGTTGTGATAATGTGGACATAACTAATTTCTACAATGTAAAGAAATATTCTTACCAATTATAAGCAATCTAATTATTTAATTAATTTAATTTCATCTTTTTAATTTTTTTAATATCTGATAAGTATATAATATTGTAGTTAGACTATATTGTGCATTGGAGAGAATATTTTAATTTCATAGTTGTAGACTTAATATTTTTCATACATGATTCACAATACATTTAATTTATTGACATTTGGCAAAATTTATTTTACTACAACATTAGAGCATTGGAAATGCTCTTGGACACGTGTCAGTACATGAAGTTATGGGTGACTCCATAAGGAAGTTATCCGATGACTCCACATAATTTCTGTAGACCTAAAAGTTCATTTGATAAGGTTTAAGTGTTATGTCATGCTGCCTTATACATTTTCTATGAATATTTATAATTACATACTCAAAATAACATATTATGAATCACAATCTATATATGTTAATTGCTGGCATAGCAATTAATAGAAATTAGCCATCAATTAATAAAAATAAGTCAGTATTTAATAAAAGTACTTATGATTTTTCTCCAAAAATTGTTATATCAAATTTTATTTATCTTTTATATTTAAATCTTATTCACCAATCAACCACTTATTTTTGCCTAATTTTGTAGTATGTAACGGATGTATTAGGATTGCCATTATCTATTTCTCTAATTTGTTTAACAATATATCGCACCAATGTAATGTTTTTTAAGGTAATTTTTGCATAGTAACGAGATAATGTTTAAACCATTAAATTTGAATGTTACATTTTTTTTTTTAATTTATATGTTGATTAGTAAAAGAAGTAATAATTATATAGATACAATCCATAATATTAAAAAATATTTATCACATTAGGCGTTATGGAGGCATATAATATTACAAATACAAATTCAATTTAAAGAATCTCGCAATGATTCATCAATTTAGTCCATGTTCGTAACAGGCCTAGTTAATCCTTTATTTTCAAAGCTCTCATCAGCTCGTTTTTTGCTTACGAGATAAACCCTAATCCCCAGTCATACCATTTCATTTTCATAATATTGATTCAAAAGCATCCCTCAAAATCGACCCACCAGATTTCACAAATTCTCGACCACATTGAAAATGTCAAGAGCTTTGAGATGCCCTATTCGATTTTCACTCGCCTGATCAAATTCTACAGTGATGTCCATATGTTTGATGATGTTGTTGAGCTCTTTTCGAGGATTCCCATGTTAAGATGTGAGTAGTCGGTGGAAGTTTTGAATGATTTGCTAATATTCACATTTTTTAACTCAAATCTAACTCAACTTTAATTCAATCTGACTATCTTCAATATTATCAATATAACTAAATAATATCAACCAATCATTCTTACATATTACATCAACTTTAATTTACTATTCATCCACTCATCTAATTTTAATTCACCATCACTTCACATATCATCTCTTTTCTGTACTATTACATCAAACTAACTTTAATTATTTTACTTTAAATCTCATTTTAATATAAACTCAAAATCTCACTAACAACTGACCATATCACATTTTTCAAAGTTAACCAAACCAAACAAAAAAAACCAAACACAATAAAAAAAATACTTATATCCAAGCATCCAATAGTGCTTACCAAACACAGTTTTAGTATGTAGGATGAACTTTTTTAAAAAACTCGAGCTTATCACATAAGCTTCTTTAAGTAGCTTTTCGAATAAGTCCGTTGAAATTTTTTTTTCAGTTAGCTTATCAGCTAATTTACCACACTCTTATTGTATCAGCTAGCTAGTTTTCAATCATAAGCTATCAACTATAAGTTATGTTTGGTAAACTTAATTAGCCAATAAACTAGCTTATACTTTTAAGTGAATATTCGAGCTTATAACTAATAGCTCATTACTTATGGTTGAAAAATTAGCTTATATGATAAAAGTGTTAGGTAAAATTAGCTGAAAAGCTAGTTGAAACGAAAATTCCAATGGGCTAAATTAAAAGCTACACAAGGAAACTTATGAGATAAGCTCGAGATTTTTAAAAAGCTCGTTCTACCAAATCAAATTTATTTGAAAACAGAAAGTCTGTAAGCTAATCCAATAAGCAATAAGGTAGTTTATATGCTTACCAAACACAACCATAAGCTCGAAATTCATTTATAAGCTATCAACTATTTTACCGCACATAGCCTATGTGCATTTAAGTTAGATTTTATTCTATCGGTGACTATAATTCAATTGTCGAATTTTTAACTATTTGATCAACACATATCCGAGTATTTGTTGATCCAACAATAACAAATTTAGTAATTGCAATATAAGTACAATATCAGCCGTACAATAATATGTTCTTAACTATCATGATTAGATTGAATTATTGGATGCACTTATTATCTAATCTAATATGATTGCATTACTAATTATTAATTTTTTACTAAGGAAAAGGCTGTCTTATAGTCTCACTTTCAAACTTGATTGATGTGAATGCATGTGCAAATTATTATAAACAAAATCATAGATTGTTGTTCATTTTATTTCATTGCCTCCTTTTTTTGGTAATTATCTTTCGTGGCCCCAACACAGAACACTTGTACAACGGCAAGTCCCCACAATTTTAAACATTGTGGAAGGCAGTGGAAGCATAATATGGCTAGAAAAGAAAAAAAAAAAAATCACCACAATTTTTAATATGTTATAAATAAGTGGAATGAACCACTATGCATGAATAGTGACATTTCACTATTTGAATAAATGGGAATAGTAATAGATATGAATGTGGTGTAAATTATTGTATGTTATGTCGGGAAAGTTTGTCTATAAAAGGCACCCGAAATGCAATGAAAATGTACAGAAGGAAGAAGAAAATTGAGTATAAGTGATATCCAGTTTCTATATTGTGTTCTTTATCTTTCGTCTTTATAACACGTTATCAGCACGAACGCTCTACCCGGTCCGAAAGGTAGGAATATACTAATATGTATATACATTACATAAAATCAGTATATTTTACTAATTTACATATTACCATTATTATTGGCAAGTACGGCTCTGCCATAGTCAATAATATGTGGTAAGTTGATATTATCAAATTTACTTATGGATTACTAATGATTAAGAAATGACTTCATGTTATAATTAAAAATATATAATATTATTACTTGTACTTCACACCCGCAAAAGGGTTTACCCAGTAATGTGGTATGAAATTTATAACTGCTTATATTGGTACCCACCGAAAGATTTATCGAGTAGTGTGGAGTGACATTTTTATTTGTTTTGACACTTATATTCATTAAATTGTTCACATAGTGG